AAGAAAGTCAAAAGGAATTTGGTTTGCTGAGATCTGCTGGAATAGCATGTTTCCAAAATATATTGACTTTAGAAGGAGAACACCAATCAACTTCTTCTTATGATCTTCTAGGAAAAAAAGAAAAAGAAGTGAACTTATGAACTTGTATATCATAGGTGTTGACATTTAGATGTTAGGAAAATAGATCTTATGATCTATTTTGAAATTTTGAAAGAAACATGTTGAAATTCCTGTTAGATGTTAACTGGACAATTGTCATCCTCTATCATGGTAATAATATTTTTTATTCAAATTTGAAGTCAGCTTTTCATGTCCAGTAGATTTGTATACTGCATGGCTGCCTCTTGGTTAATTCCTTTGTCTCAGGCGCCTTTCCAAGGAAAAGCCAGGGACACACCATAGCATACGGGACTTATGCCATATATGTGCAGTGTGTTCTGCTTAAAAATATAATATAAGGTTTAGCGGATCAGCTATTTTTGTTGCCTTCATCAGCCAATACCTATTAAACTAATATTAAAAGAGGAAAAAAGTTAGCTGGAACAGCTTCTCTACAGCGATCAAAGTATGACAGTAGAGAGACAAAACGACAGTGTTCTTTGGAAACATGAAAGCCAGTGCTAAAAGAGAAGATGTATTTTGAAAAATCAGTAGGCAAAGTGAATTTAGTCTGCATGTATTGTTTAGAAAGCTTTTATTTCTTCATACAAATGATACTTGGTTTTATGTTTTTGCTTTAATGTGAAATTTACATGGCTAAAATACAAAATGGATAGATTACTTTTAATAGTTTTCATGATCTAGAAATGTCATTAGTTCACTTTTTGCCACATTATTCTTGATTGAAAGATGTTTTACAAACCAAATCACTGGGATTGCCTTGCTGCAAAGTAATTTCTCTTGTGTGATGATATAGTTATGAACTTGTTAAGAAGAACATGTATTTAATTACTCTAAGTCAAGTGAGTTCATTATATGAACTCTCAAGTCGCAAATTGAACTTTAACAATATATCCCCTATGTAAAACTAGAAGCCTGACTGGCTTCACCAAATTTTCTTTAGTGGCCTTGATTATCATTTGCATATATTTTTAATATTAAAAATGCATTATTTCTGTAGTGAGAGGAGAATGGTTGATTTTTGGCAGCTGGAATTGAAATACATTTTAAAATAATATATGCATAAAATTTATGACTTGGAAAACAAACATATTTGTTTAGGATTGTTCCTTTTGTTGGATGAAAGTTAAATATCCCTGTGAATATATTTTCTCTGTCCTGCATAAGTGCCAGATTTTTACTTTAAGTACTTGCATTTAAAAAACCTAAAATTAAAAATAGCTGAATTCCCACTAAGTGCTCCAATGTGGAGCTAAATAGAAGGCAATTATCTAACTCAAAACCTGACCCTGTTCATATTTCCTCATTTTTGTTTTTCAGTTGAACGGGAGAAATGTGAGTACTGTGTTCATTATACTGTTTTAGTACTGTAATTGTGGGATCTACTAATGTGGTAAAACATGGAATCAGCCCCCAGATTTCTGAAGCTGAGGGAGGCTGTGCTGAAGCTGGGTTGCATATGAGGAAACCAGGGGACATGACAAAGAAATCTGAATTTGTCTTCATGCACTGTATGAGATGGCCTTTTAATCTGGGTTCAAAATCGTGTACCCATGTTTTTGAGTGGAGAATGTGTACATGTAATTAGGGAGGGGAAATATGACTAAATATTGGGTATTTTTCTTATTTTAACTGATCTGTTTTAAATAATTCAAGTTTGGGTTTTTCAAACTGAATCAAAGTAAAAGTATTTCTCTGCTCTTTTCATACAGTGGCATTCAAATGACAGAGAGTTAAAAGCCCAATAGGATACAGGCAATGGGACAGTGACAAGCAGGTGCTTTAATCTAAATGTGTTGTCCATCTGTACACCTCAGAAAATCTCCTTAGTGGTTTCCTATTTTTTACTTTGTGAGCTCCTTATCTATGATTGCATCAGGTAAATGGTGCCTCTGGAAATATGCTAAATGTTCACATTTGATTAGCCCTTGCAGACAAATGCATTGGAAAGACCAGGTCACATGTAGAGATCTCTGCAAAGGAAGGACATAGACTTGTAAGGCAGAATACTCTTCCTGAATTCTTGCTCTGCCTAGTTTGGAGCAGGTCTTTGAATCAAGCTTTTTCCAGCTCAGCAAATGTACAATGCTGGTAAATATCCAGTAACCTAATCCTGAAACTATTGCTTAAATAACTGTGTTTTTACCAGAGCAAGAACCTGGACCTTAGTTCTCACCTACCATATACTGAAGTTACTGAACTATAATGGGTATCATGCCTGCTTTATTCAGTGACTATTCTAAGAGGAAGGGATAAACATGGTAGGAGACAAAGTCATCTTATTCCACTCTATCTTGCAATACTGAACTGGAAGGAAATTCCAGTATCAGCTTGAATGCTCAGTGAGCGGTGAAGTTAGGTGAGGAAGTGAAGAAGGTGGTTAACTGGCTGAGCAGCCAAACCATGGAGCTGTACAACAGCAATTGTGTGTGTTCAGGTTTGTTTCACATCCATTGTTCTGACTCTAGAGACTACTCTCCTTAGAGGAAGTCTGTGCATCCATTACTACTAAAGTTAACGAATCTGAGAAGTGAAATCAAGGCACTGACTTCTGTTACTCTCTTAAGTAAATGAAATGGCCTTTGGATTATGTAGTGAATGCCGTATACCTAAAACACTGCCAGGAGCTCAGCTGTATTTCTAAACTTGGTATAGCTAATTTCGTAGATTTTTCTCTGGGGTAACTTTTTGCTTTGCTTTGCTAACAAGAGAGTGTATTGAAAGTCTGAATGGAAAGACACATCTATCCCCCCCTGCCCCCCAAGTACAGCTGAAATGTTTCTAAGCTAACTAGTGAACTGTTGTAATACAATTGCCTTTCATGAAAGCAGTTATTTTTGTATTCATTCATTGATTTCTGATCTCCACTGGAAAATGTATTAATGACAGTGTTTACTGCTGCTGGCTACTTGTGACCTGTTTTCTCATATTTTCTTTTCCAGGAGGAGACTGCATGTCTTTAAGAGAGAACTTTGTTTCTTACTCTGCTGGTATTTTAACTAATTAGTAGACTGCTGCTGCATCAGCGCTAAGCCTCATTACTGGTCATCATCGAATGATGGAATGATGAAAGCACTGGGTCTAACAATATTCTAACAAAAAACTCCAGGCAGCAGCTACTGTGGATCAGCAAGGCTACCCAGAGGCTCATTTGGGTAAGCACCAACTCTGTACTATCACTTCAGAAACTCCAGCTGGGGCATGTTTGAGTACATGTAGAATATGCAATTAAGCAGCCTTTCAGTCATGCAGTTTTTCCAATGTAAATTTTGATCCTTAGGAGGACTTGGAGGATACCCATCCATCTCTGGGATTTGAGCCCAGAATATTACCTATGAAATCTAAATCTAGTCCTACTGCCTATGTTATGTTAATGTGAACAAACAAGTTGCATAACATTTTGTTCAGATAGTATTATTAGGGTAAAATTAAAATTGTATGTGGAGAGAGATGACCTTGAACATGTGGAGGTTTTTTCTTTTTTTGATTAACATATTGCCCTGCTCCAAGATTTATTTATCGCTTTTCACCAGAAAAGCAATGAGAAGCCCAGAACTGTTCCAGTTGAAATGTTTGTTTAATCTACAAGATGCCTGCCTTGGAACATCTGTCACCATGATATATTTTCCAATTGCCTCTTGTGGGTAGCCACATAATACATCCTCCTATTTTAAAAATTCATCCTCAAAAGGGATGAATCAATATGACTTGTGTGTTTCAAAAGCATATATAGGAAATATAATTTTCTATCATGATGGTGGTGTCAATGAACATCTTGGATTTTTTTGAGTTCTTTGACCAAATCTTTTAAAACCCCATAGTTTTTCCTAAGCCATAGTCAATGGGTCATGAGACTTTTGTCTGAACTCTACAGTTTGACATACAAATGAGATGATTCATTCATAGTATCTAACTAACCACACATGCAGTCTTAGCTTAGGATATTTAAGTTACCTAATCAACTTAAGCTGACTCAGGATGAAAGAGGTTTACAGGCCCAATACGTTGTAAGTGGGAAATAATAATTAGATTAAATATACACAATAAAGAGGGAAAAATAATAAAAAAAGACATTTCTGGTAACCAAAGAGCTCAGGGAAGAAGTGAACCTGTGTGGTGGGACTTATTTAAATGTCTCCTCATGTGGAAGTATAAGGAATTGTCTCTAATATTTTCACATTGAAAGACAGAGTGGGCTGGAAGCAGATTTTAGTCTTTCAGTACAACTGTGAAGTTAGTCTGATGCTTTAATCTTGTTAGCTAAAGTACTTCCAGGGCTGTGTAAATGAAACAGGTTAGCCACAGAACATCTCCTTATTGTTGGATTAATAGTTGATTAACAGGTTTGAAGTTATTGAAAGGGAGGAATAGAAAGTGCAAGTGAACACTATTGGCCCTCCATTCTTCAGGCCATATTTCTTGAGTAGGAAGGGATGAAGTTCTCATTCATCCTAAGCAGAACACAGGTAAAGTGATTTGAATCATTTTATGTAAATTTGAACATGAATGGATTTGCATTTCCTTCAAGAAAATTCTCCAAAAGCACAACAGGCATCAAGAGAAGAAAATCTGGGAGAAGGAACTTGGGGAAATAATGAGAGGAATGAGACAAATAGAGGCATACCCAGAAGGGACCAAATCCTAAGAAAATCAGATACAATAACCTCACTCTTGTTTTAGCCCTAGCATGACACAAACTTTTATGTAGGTTTCATGTAGAAAATTAATCTGAGAATGAGCTAAAAGCCCCCAACTGCCCTACATGTAGGAAATTCATCCAGTTTTGTGAGCTCATTTATAAAACATTTATCGTATTCCTAAGTTTTCTCCAGCATTTCTTGAATCATAATATCCTTTAACCCCCCCCAAAATCTTGTTACCTCATTATTAAGCCTGCTGATCTGCTGTTTGGTCTCTTCAGCTTTGATAACGAGCACAGCAGCACCAATTTCAGCCTCTGAAAATAATTCAAATTCATGTAAATGAGAAGAGTATGATCACTTAGAAATGATAATACTGTTCTTGCACTTAACCAATCCTTTAAATTTAAACCTGTTTTTCAGTTGGCTAGAATGAAAATTAAACCATGTGTTTAATGTTCATTTTATAATGTTTGAGAGAAGTGCAATTAACAAAGTCCATACTGCTCGCTTCACTCTGGACCTAAAAGGAAGCAAGATGATAACCTTGGTGCCCTCCATGTGATGGCTTGACACTTTTAAAAAATCATAAATATGACTAAACTGTAATTATTATTTTCCAGCTTGGCTTTAAGAGAAACAATATATGTCCTAGTTGCCCCCATGATAAAGGCACTTAGCTATTTGGGAACTGTTTACTTCTAAAAGAGTGGATGTTGCAAACAGTCCCTCTCTTTTAAAAATCCTTTCCCCCCCTATCTTGACAAGTTACATTGCTTTGTGGTGCTACTTCACCAACCTTTTCAGGGTGTCGGCTATTTAAGGCATCATAAAACCCCTCGTTATTCAAGGTTTTAACTCTTAAAAATCTCTATACTTCCATACCCCTCCACTTCTCTAAATATCTTTAAAAATGTTAAGAGCTAGGTTTACTTATGGCCCTTAATGAATTGGGTGGGGGGGTTTTTTTTGGTTTTGTTTTTGGTGGGTTTTTAAAATTTTGTCTTCTTCTTGTATTTTTTTCAGTTTGGTATTAGAATGTTTTTATGTTCAGTTTTTGCCCTTTTGTTTAGTACCTTCTATGACCAAAGCTTTGGGAGCATGAGGCAGATTCTACAGTTCTGGTAAAGCATAATGCATGAAAAACCAGTTCCCTCCACAAACTGTTTTATCATTACTGCCTGTTGGTAGGAAAACAACAAATGACCTTTGGGACCTTGTTGTATTTTTTTTTACAATTGTGGCACTGAAATGAGACTCAGAGTACAAATAAATGTTTAATCTATTTATGCCACTAGTGAGGATGAAAGAAATGAAGGGGAACAAAAAGCAGTTATGAAACCGTTTTCTCTAAAAAGTGATTTTCCCAGGCAACGCTCACCTCCAGTTGTAGGAGATAACCTGGATTCCTGCCTGAGCTGATCAGAGCTGAAGTCAAAGGTTTGGCTTTCTTCATTATGGTTTCCATCCTCAATCCCATCAACAATTCTGTTGAGAAAAATTGGGGTAATGGAGCAGTTTCATAAACATCATGTTCCTATTATGTTGTAAAAATTACTCCTAAAAGGCACATTTTTAAACAATGGTAACTTTTTCACAACATTAAGTTTAGAGAAAAGCAGACCCTATTATATTGGCATAACTTCTTGTGAGTCACTAAAAATTAAAATTACTGATAATGGAGGAATGTGAGGCCAAGTATAATTAATTGAGGTTTCAAATTTTTCATGACTTTTACAGTATATTCTGGGTCCAATTCAAAACTACACAGACTATAGTTTGCTTCTCATATCTACAGTAATCTGTTGCTATTCTTTCTTCTGCACAACCAAAAGAGGCTTTACTATGCTCTTGTGAAGCTAAAATCTCCCTGCACATAATCAAGCTCTTATATTAGGTTTACCTAGGCAGAGCCTAAGCCTGAACATAATATATTTATGAAAACCTCTCTGTAAACTTTAGTCAAAAGCACCATTTCCATGCAAATAGTTATTCTAAATTTCTTTTTAACTAGTTCAGGCAGGGAAATCTTGTTGGCAAATTTCATATAGGAAGATGTGCAGACCAGTCTCCAGTGTACCAGTTACATTAATAACAGTATTGGATCTGATTACTAGAAAAGGTATTTTTGCTAGTTATTTCCACCCATGCATAGCAGTTATCTCTAAACTGCAGTGTCAAGAAAGCCAAAGGAAAAAAAAAGCAGTGGTATTTTACACAATAATCAAGTTCTGAATTCAAAGAAAACAAGTACTGGAGGAATGAATACACAGTATTAAAATATATATAATTATGAATATTTTCTGTTCTCAGATAAAATAAATTGTGATATAAAGAGAACTATATTAAAGTCAATGAAAGAGTCATACAACTGCCAGTTGATTGATATGAAGCATCAATTTCTTGTTTTGTTCAGGAACAAGCTTCACTTTCTGTCTTACAGCAGACATATGAATTAAATACTAATCTGGAAGGGCTAAGATAGCAAGTTATTAGCCTCTCAGTCACTGGGGATAAATTTGTTATGATAGACATTAGAATTTTTATCTAATAAAGATGTTTTCAGGAAAGCTTCTTGACTGGAAATGTCTAGGGAAGGAAAGAACAGAGAACACAGAGGTATCTGTGATGTATTGGGCTTGAAAGACCCATGTAACTCAGACCTCTGTATCCATACCATGTGTTCCCATCCTTTTTAGCTCTTTGTGTGGGTTTAGATATCTATGTCATGTTCACGATGCCAGTTGGATGTTACTAGACTTGACTCTAATCTTAATCAGCCTCTGGTAGAAGAGGAGACTCAAATGTGGTGCTTGAGCAGCCTTGGCCTATACTGCTATCTGCAGCTGAAAGCCAGAATGATTATTTTGTTTGAAATTTGCTATAAAACCTGTTGAATGTCATTCGGCCTCACTGCTTCAAAAGGCGAATTTTAAACACAAATATCACTTTTGTAGAGGTTTCTAATTATATAAAATGCTAACATTTTAACTGCCTTTAAAGCACACAAGAGAAAGCTTACTCAGATGTGACTTGGAATTTATAGATGCTACATTCTTTATAGCGTTTAAAGATTCATACTCAAAGGAAATTATATTAGGACAAATACCTAGCTGAGAGTGCCAGGCTTCTATGTGACAAACACATAATGTGCAATATGCTTATTCATATACAATGATCTGGCTGGGGAACTACATAAGCTAGTAAATTGAAAACATGAGGAGACAAATTTAATTGCTAAGCCTCACCCCTCTCTGAATCAGCTATTGTACAGCCCTGAATTTTCTCCTGAAGACAGAAAATTCCACCCTTAGAAGCCAAAAAAGTCAGAAAAGTTTAACATGTGACCTCTTCTATCCAGTTGCTTAAGGATTAGGCCCCACTCCTCTAAGGAGTGTGGTTCTAAGGAGATTCAATTATATCAAACCTCCTCCTAGGGCCGCCTTTATTATCACTTGCATTTTCTTCCTTTTGGTGCTCTTCCACTTCATAGGCAGAATCCAAAAAACAACTGACTGGGGCTCTATTCTAGAAACTACAATTCTACCCTCTGTTCCTTGCATTAAGGGCTCTCTAAAAATTTGACCCAGTCTCTGGGCTTTATTGCTTTCACTGTGGGGCATAATGAAAGAACCTGAAGCATCTGTAAAGAATTCTAGTTAGTTTCCTCTCAGAAACATCCACAGCAGAAGTTTCTTAAGAAACTGTGGTTATACACCTCAGAACAGCACTGACTGGATATTTCAACCAGAGTCTTGTCTTTCCCTTGCCAACACCAAATGTAAAAGAGAATTTTAATTAAGATATTATTTTATCCTTAATGGTCACAAGGAAACACTTAAGACTATTTTTTAAAGTGGTATTAACTTGTCAGTTTAAATATCCTAATAATATAAATTCCTTCTAGGAGATAACAAGAAAATGTTTTGTCTGGAAAAAAGGGAAACTGAAAAACATACATCTTGAGACAGTTTTCCAGCCTATTAACAGGATTAGTCTACAGTTATAAAATTATGAATGGAAACAGGAAAGAACATATGTAAACACATATTTTCATTTTTTTTATAGCCTTGGGTGCCAATGTCTGACTGCATAAATTCGGAGCAATAATGACCATAACTACATTTCAGCAAAAAATATAAAAAATAGTTTTTCCCTGAATTACCACTTATTATGTGAATGATAATGACCTTTACTCATAGCTGACTGAACCAAATTAATATGAGATCTAGAAAACAAATGAGAAAATATCACATAGTGCTATGGTTTTGTTGGCATATTGGTATTTCTTCAAAGGTTGGACTCAATCTTGGAGGTATTTTCCAACCTAAATGATTCTGTAATTTCTCTGATTTTATGAAAAACTAAAATTGTTTTGTATCCCGGTACTATTTGAAATGTGTCTGTACTGATAAAATATATGATGAGAGGGAAAGGGTTCTATATAATCTTCCATGTCCTTTTTATGATTGCATCTCTAGAGACTGGTGCTTTGACAGAGTCAAACAAATATTGTTCAAACTGTGGCTATTTCATATCTGCAATGGCAAGTTCCTCAAACTTCCACTCTGCTTCTAATGAATAAAGGAAGTGCTTGAATATGTAAACCACTTCAATTTATAGAAGACAATACTTGAACTGGAAGATGAACTACTGCATCTCCTTGTATATATGTTTGTGATTTCTCTAAAGAACTGGTATTAAAACTAGGATTGCACTGCAGCAATTTAGTAACAGGCTACATAAATCACTTTTAAGTAGTGTACAAATTAAGAAATTGAAATATTTTAAATTTTACACTAGCAATACTTCAATAAACTGTCATACGATGCTTCCTTGTGTTAAAAGACACAGCAAAACAGATTTGCTAACTCTGTATTTAATATCTGTATGACTTACATTATCAGATTTCCTGTCTCTAATGAAAAAACCCTCTAAACATTTTCCAAAATTGCTTGGCAATTGTTTTCCATTATAGTTCTATACTCCAGTAATTTTTTGTATTTTCTTGGCTTGTATAATTTCATTCATAGCTTTCTAAATTTTTGTATCTCTGATGGTCTCAGAATGTTTCATAGTGCTATTGGAGGAATGAATATTATAGACAAAATGATACCATAAGGCCAGACTATTTGAATAGCCATTTTTGCAGTTGCTTACTTTTTTTACTGCCCTTTTTATGGGTAAAAATACTTTAGTTGCAATAAACTTCTAAAGCCATAACATTCTCCATAGTGTGCAATGGTTCCTACAATAATGTAGGATGAACAGAAGTATAAACTATTAAAGAATAACTCTTATAGTGTCAAAATCATGCTATTTTTAATAGGAGTCACATGATAGATAGGAAAATGACCATTCATAGCTATTACCTTGGGCTCAGATCTGGTGGGCCGCTGGTGGTCAGTGCTGACAGGTACAGTTTAAGGTTTTTCTCCTTCCTTTTGGAGTAGTAATGGAGCTCTGTTTCATGTTTGGCTCTTGAGGGGTTTGAACTGCAAGCACGGATGGGGGAATGAAAGGGCACAGTTCCTGAGGCCAGCTGCTTCAAGTTTCTCCCTAGGTGGCTTTTGCTGCTTGCAGTCTTCTTTTGCTGAGAGCTATTTGTGCTTCGTGTATCAATTGGCGAAAGAGTGCTGCTTTCTTCTTCTCCCTCTTCTTCCTCATCTTCATCTTCTACAATTGAAGGGAGTTTCTTCTTTATATTTCCATTTCCCTTGAGCTCTGTCTAAAATAACAAATAATACATATTAGCGTAAAATTCAAAGTCTGATGTTGCAGAAAACCATTTTTTCTGCTGTTCATTCTGGAGCAAACCCAGATCTAACACAGCTTTCATTTCTCATTAGAGAAAGCTCTTTTGGAACTTATCCATAGCCTCAGCTATATATGCAGACAGAAGTAAAATACAAACAAATTAAAAAAGGTCACATGTGACATGGTCAGCAAACTCACTGCAGTATGTTTTGTTACCAAGAAGGGTACATGACTAGTTTTTTCAAGTCTTTTGCCATATGTACACTTGAGACTATTAATTTTGTTTAGCTGAGGCATTATTTCTTGAATGTTATGCTACCAGAATCTTGGCAGTCCACAGAAGAGATCTGAGGCTGGTAATTCAAATAATACCACTTTTTCACATGGAACCTTATATGAAGTGTAAATGGCATTTACACCAGTTCAGCTCAAGCCCAATGTCTCTGTGTCCTTCTAAATTTTTGTAACTAAGGTAATTGCCAGGATGGTAGACAGACCAATAGTGTGATAGTTTTGGCTTCAGGATTGAGTCATCAGAAAGCAGAGCTATGTCTGGTTTTGAATAAAATGCAATTTAGATGCTTGATGTTGGAACCATGGAAATTTAGAGGCAACATAGACCTAGATTCTGTAATTTATGTACTAATTAAAGCACAGTGTAGGAGATCAATGTTTTTTTTTTTTTGTGACAAAAAAGTATGTTGATCGTGAGTGCCAACACGTGCCAACATAGACAGGATCAGACCTTAACTCAGAAATAGTTCCATTTATTCCCATTGTACAATTTACTTTATTGGTAGTAGGTGAATAGCCTAAGGCAGACTCAGGTTCCAGATAAAATTAACAAACCAAATGCAACTCTATGGTTTCAAAGGGAGGAATTTTCTAATTTTTTTTTATGGCTACTCCTCTTAATCAAGCATGATTAAGGCACTGTTAGCTTTAGATAGAAAACCTCAGATGACCCCGCATAGTCAGATATCCCACATTCAGGCCAAGTCAGATTGGCTGGGTGGAAATACAGATTTGGGGAATTTATCCAAATAGTCTAAGCCCCTGTGAGCATCTGTCTAAATGTTCTGCAGCATAGGTTTAATTTTGTTACAACACACTTTCATTGAATGTATGCTTTTCTCTTGGTATGTGTTGACAGATTTTGTGAACTGGTGTCTTTTAATTTGAGGTATATATGAAGTGGTAAGAACTCCAAGTTGTGACAAAAGGCATGTCTTTATAAAATAGGAAAACCTTGTTGTTAACTGTAGTAGTTATTCAAAGGCTGTCATGATGATTAAACTGTACAGGACCTGGCACTGATACTGCCTATACTCTATAGAAAACAAGTGTTACCCATATTCAAAAATTTGGCTTGGGTAGCAATGTATCTAAAATGTAGTTGCTACAGGAAGATATTCAAATTTAGCACCTGGGAAAAAAAAGATTATAAGCTGTTACTCATAAAATAGGCAGTGGCAGAACTATATGCAGGATGTTATTTGAATTCCCACTCTGAAAAAATTGAAGTCCGTTTTCAAGAAGGAATGGAAAGAGTTTGTTGTGCTTATAATTATGTGTGCGTTCAAAGTGAAGCTTGGCATAATTAAAATGTGATCAACATACCTGGGATAGTGTAGGCTTGTTGGATAATTTTGATATTACCTGCAAAAAACAAACCAAAGAGGTAGGAAGTATGTACATCTGCACAGTTTGGCTTCCAATGGGATACAAACATCTAAACCAAAACATTTATGTCAATTAAAGACAAAACACTCACGATAAAATGGCTGTATTAAAATAAATGGTGACATAACACTGAACTAAGGATAATCCTTGCAAACAGGTGCTGTGAGAGTAAAAAAAATAGTTGTTTTATCTTAAATAAAAAGTGAGTTAATGAAAAAATAATATTTTACTTTAATAAAAAAAGTAGATCAAGATTCCAAACCTGTGAATAAATGTAGATGTGTGTGAAAGCATGCCTGGTAGATGTCAGTGCTTTCAGGTTTGGTGGAAATGCAGGAACAAGTACTTTACTTTGGCCCTGCTTAGCTTTATCTCCTGTGCCAGCCTAGTCTGTATGTGAAGATGAACTAAGCATCTCCAGCATCTTTGAGAAATTTGCAAAAGCAGTGGTGGGACTGAAACAAGTAGGAGCAAGGTAGTCCTGAGGGAGAGGTGTCTGACTTGAACTGAATAACACGGAAAAAAATAAAAAATTATACCACTTTCAAGAGTAACTACTTCTAATAAAATCCACTGGAACTGCTGAGTACTATCTGTTATGAAAATTCAGCTATTTATTTGAATGCCCACATCTTGACCAAGGGCAAGTCTCTTTCAGCTTATATACTGTATTTATATGAATATTTTAGTCTGCCAGGTAAAACTTTGAGAGATGTTTTTCAGTTTTTCTAAACCCACATATCAAGGCAAAAAATGCTTAACCCATCAGTCAACTTATTTTTCTCCATACATAGTAGAAGTTAGGTATTTCTGAAAGTCATTTGAACATCTCAGTTTGTTTGACAAATTTCTTCGGAACTCCTAAATATTCAAATTTTAGGCATAGATTTAAAAATAATAATTGTGTGTTATTTCATAATTTTTTATTTTGTTCCAAGTCTTTCAGGTTAACCTAAAAACTGTTCTGTAATGAGGGTACTAGTAGTGGTATAATATACAAATACAGAATATTTAAGTTTTTATTAGCAGAAATCCTACTGCACAACAGCCAAGCCAGTAGCAGGTGTATCATTAAATGTAGCAATAACACTAATAATTACCAAACAGAGCAACTGCAATAATGAAGCTATGTAAACAAAATAAGTGCTCTGTACTTACTGAGTTAGACAGAGTACTAGCTGATATTAGCAGAGAATGAGATATCACATTCTGAAATCTCATAATTTCATTGTAATCTATGCCAACTGAAAAATCACTATCTTCAAGATTCAGAATGAGAGGAAACTAGAAATGTGCTAAAATATTAAAGTCAGAATTAGGAAGTACTACTGGCCAGCTTTGAAGAAATTTTTAAAATATTGGTTTAAAATTGTGCCCAGAATTTTGGGACATCAGTTTGCTTGGCTTCTAGGCACAGCAGGAATGTTAAATAGCAGCCTTAATTAAAATTCCAGGCAAATCCAAAATATTAGCAGCTTCACAAAAAGCATCTCAAAAAGTATGCATTTTCCTGCTGAGGGCTTTAGAAGTGACTTGTCATTTGTAATTTGTAACGTGGGTGAAGATTTCCCTCACTTTTTGTTTTAATGTTGCTGTTTTTCCCTCCTGAATACTTGTTAATCCTGACTGTACATCCTGAAAACACAAAGAACTCATTATGTGGGTTTTAAGCTGCGTGATCTGTTGCCAGCACTGTGCCCTTGCTTCTGGACCTCCCTGCTGCTCCTCAGTACAGGAGCCACAGCCACCCATCGATCCCTCTCTGCTCTGTATTACTATTTATTATTATTATTATTATTATTATTATTATTATTATTATTATTATTATTATTATTACAATCATCATCATTATTATTATTATTATTACCATCATCCTCATTATTATTATCATCATCATCATCATCCCTGGCTTGGTCACTGCAGCAGGGGGAAACTGGCGGCACAGCAAATGGGGTGAGCAGCAGCACTTTGTTGCCTTGGGACCTTCCCAAGAGAAGGGTAAAGGAATTTTTGAAGGCAGGTTACTTTTTGCAAGGAGGGGAGGGAGTGTTCTCAGGAGGCCGTGCAGCAGAAAAGAAGGGTAAGTACGAACACAGAGCACATGGTGTGAGGAAGCTGCTTCTCAGACTCCTCCTGTTCCCCCAGCCTAGTTCCTTTAACCCACTGGGGATTATTTCAGTCTGAAAATATCTATATTTTAAAATAAACTATGGAACAATAAACTATGGACCTATAAGCTATCTTTCCTATAGAACAAAATCCACAGTAAAGAGCCTTGTAACTGATTCTGTAAAATTACACTGCGACCATACTCATTGCCTATCCTGAACACACAACAGGGGACTGAGTTTATGGCTTAGTAGTTGAAAGTTGGCAAAAGAAACTAATCTGTGCCCAGAGAGAATTCTCAAGGATTTTGCTTCTAAACTTGTTCCAGCACCTTCTCTCTGTCTCTCACTCCAGTCCCAAAGAGAAAAGATGAAAAAGAACCTGGACAAAGCCAGTCAAAGTGCAGTAAATGAGAAGTTCTCATTACGCACATAGCTTTATCTTTTAAAAAACGTAGTATCAGAGTAAATAATTAGGAGGTGTTGCCCTAGTTTCTAGGACACTAAAACCTTTTATTTAGGGCAACACGCTAGTGCAATCTTCTACAAAATGCTCTATTTTTTCCTTATGCAAAGAGTGTGCCAAATACCTCATATGCCTGCCTTTTAAAAGAAGTACAGCTCTTAAAGTATAAGGGCTGCTGGAAGGAAAAGTACAGATATTTAACTTACTATGCACTGAGAAAAAAACCCAGAAAGATTGATGTTAGCATGAATTATGTGAAATACAGCCAAAGAGTCTAATTAAAAGTTTTGATTTCAGCCCTGGTATCTCTTTATGTCTCGTGAAACCAGCTATTAAATTTAATTATACAAGACAAAATAATAGATTATGTACCAAAAGCAGACTCATATACAATTCTTCCATGTATGGAATCATAAATCTACATTCTTCCAATTTTTTAATATCTTAATAGACAGATTAAAAAATTCAATAATCCTTAACATTGCTTATTAGAAGCACAAAAATAATATTTCTCCATCTGAAAAACAGTAGATTGCTGTTGAAAGCCGATGATCTGAAAATTTTTTTCAGTGTCAAGAGGCAGTAGTCATTTATAAACAATCTCCAGGAATTGGGACCAAACCAGGTAATAAGCTGTACAATAATTCAAGATGAACTCAAATGATAAAATCCTAAAAAGAAAAATGTAGAGACACAGCTAAATTGGAGGCTAATACATTATATGCCTAGTCAGTAAGTTTATCTGCTGGGCCTCAATAGAATGTTTGCAGGTCTGATTCTTGTAGCCTTCACAAAAAGTAGGAATTAAAATAAAAACATAATTTCACTTATTTTATTGTAATCTTTAGTACTAAAATACATGTATTTTAGTATATAATTCTTTATATTGAGGAGTCAAAAGGATAAAATATATTTTCAGGAAAGGATTTGAAATCAAAGTGGAGTATTAATGTCCTTAGTCAGCGTTTGGAAATGGGAAAAGCCCATTTAGGAACACCAGTAGTGTGGGAAAAAAACCCCAAGAATGCATGCCAGATGTTCTATTCTTTGCAAACTTACTGTATGGTAATGGAAAAGACACAAGTACATAACAAGAGATTATTGTACTGCTGCAAAACGTAATGCTTCATGTGCTCAGGCCTCAGTTTTCTGTAATTAGGAAATCTTTAATGAAATATCACGTCTTCTAAATCACGAAAGACTCACTCACAAAGAGCTTGTTAGATATAATTGTTTTATACTGAACAATTTGCCATCCCCACCCTCTGTGTTTTTTTCTTGTTTTGTTTTGCTTTTTAAGACTTTCTATTGTTCATTGGCTTGTTACTATATTTTCTCAGGGTTATTCTTATCTCTCTTCCCCGTTTAATGGACAGATAAAGAAAGCGTATTTTGTGGAAGCAGATGTTTTCAGCATTCTCTGATATTTCTCACAATACAGATGACATTGAGACAGCAGCAAAACTTGAACAGCAGATCTGTCACAGGTTTTTTGTCCTAGGCAGACAGTAATTGTGAATTACCATGAGCTCTGCAATCTCCTGTTAAATTGCTGTCCTGAGTGTTTTGTTTCTTCGCAATTAACTTGGTACAAATGTTCTGTAACAGGCTGCTTGTGGTTAGTTTTGGTTAGGTTTTTTTTTTTTTTTTGCAATTGAATACTTTGTTGCAAAATTCTCACGTGAGCTTTTATATTTGGTGTTAAAAGTTTACTTTTCATATATTTCTTTAAAACCTGAATGTTAACCTCATTGAATTCATTAATTTTTAAAAATTATACTTTAATTGTTTCATCAACAATACAGGATGTATTACATTTCTTATTAAAAAGATGCTACAGAAAGCAAAAACTTATATCTCTGCCACTTGTGCCATATTAAGAATAAATAAATGGGAAACGTGGATGGTATAATTAGTAATTTTTACTTCTATATGCTTACATCCCTTTTCCTCACCCCAAAGCAGGAGAAGAAATTAGGGTGTCATTTGCTCTGAAAAATGTATCTTTCACAGTAAACCTGTAGTACTGAAGCAGTTAGAATTATAAAAAAAAAAAGAAAAGACAAAAAAAAAAAAAAAAGAACAATCTATCAATAAGATGAAAAGAAAACAAAAGAAGGAATTGTTAAAACAGACAATAAGCCTGGCACTGACTGTACTGTCTGGCAGGTTGTATTTTTAGAAAAGCATTCAGATTACTGCAGAAAAAAGATATAGTTGAGAAAGCTTGTTAATATTCCTACAGGTCGATTACAGTCAAGTAAAGACTTACATAATAGAAACTACAAAAAAGGCTAACACCTTCCAAAGTAATAAAACTTATATGCTTAACTTCAAGCAGCTCCAAAGTTTTAAACTGGCTCATAAATATTAGCATGACTGGGTCTGGATTGATATTCTGT